TGCGCTCCTAGAAGACATTATCCAATAATTTGTGGCCAAAATTGAGACCAAAATTACAGACTAATGAGTCAACGGACATTTCAAGCCATTCTCAGTGGATTTAAGTCTGTTTTTTTCGCCAAGCAAATGGCATTGCTGATGTGGTCAGGGCAGGTAAAAACCTGCGTAGATTACACACCTAAAGACGAGATTGTCTTAAAAATCATTAGGTAATTTTATTCAGGGTTATTTAGACAAAGATAAGAATGGTTACAGGCACTTCTGTGGACAGGTGCCTGCGGCCGCATCTAGCTCGAGCACAGCCTCAGCTCCGGCCACGTGTAAATCCTTCCTCAAACTGGAAACCAATGAGATTTGGTTGTCTTGACAGCTGAGAGCTGATTTGCACAGAGCATTAACATATAGCCATTAAGGGACGTCTGGATGGCTCAACTGGTTGAGCATCGCCTCTTGATTTCAGCTCAGGTCAGGATCCCAGGGTCGTGGCATGGAGCTTTGCACCCAGCTCTGTGCTGACAGCGTGGAGCCTGCTTGGGATTCTCTCTCTCTGTCCCTCCTCCGCTTTCATGCATGTTAGCACTCTTTCTCGCTCTTAAATAGAAATACACTTTAAAAAAGGGCGATGAGAAAGAATGAAATCTTGCCATTTGCAACAACGTAGATGGAACTAGAGTGTATTACGCTAAGTGAAATAAGTCAGTCAGAGAAAGACAGAGATCATATGATTTCACTCACATGTGGAATTTAGGAAACACGACAGATGAACACAGGGGGAGGGAAGGAAAAACAAAATACAAATAGAGAGGGAGGCACTTATAAGACACTCTTAAATACAGAGAACAAACTGAGGGTAGCTGGAGGGGAAGTGGGTGGGGGGTAGGTTAAATGGTGACGGGCATTAAGTAGGACACTTTTTGGGACCGCCTGGGTGGCTCATTCGGTTGAGCATCCGACTTCAGCTCAAGTCATGATCTTGAGCTTTGTGGGTTCGAGCCCCGTGTTGGGCTCTGTGCTGACAGCTCAGAGCCTGGAGCCTGCATGGGATTCTGTGACTTCTTTTCTCTCTGTCCCTCCCCCACTTGTGCTCTGCCTCTGTCTGTCAAAAATAAATAAACGTAAAAAAGAAAATTTAAAAAAAAGGGCACTTTTTGGGATGAGCACTGGGTGTTCTGTGTAAGTGATGAATCACTAAATTCTACTCCTGAAGCCAAGACTACACTGTGTTAACTTGAATTTAAATACAAAAAAAAATAATTAAAAAAATTAAAATTAAGAAAAAAACCCATGACCATTAAAAGGGAAAAGTAGCATTAAGTTCAGGGCATTAAACGCCTATGTTTTTAAAGTGACATGTGAGGAACTGAAACATTTCCACGCATCTACTGTCAGATTCAGAAGTCATATTATTGTCATGGGGGCATGTATTAACACATTCCCTTAAATTTTAAAGTATGATGTGAGTTTTCTTTTTTAACCCAAATTAAATTTGATTTGGCTTCTTGGTTGGAAAATAAGGGCTTGTTTTGCCAATTCGTTTATAGGGCAAACTTTCTCCATAAACCAAAGTGGCTATAAGCCCCAGATCTTGACAAAAACAGATTTAAAATTTGGGATGAGGGGCGCGCCTGGGTGGCTCAGTCGGTTAAGCGTCCGACTTCGGCTCAGGTCATGATCTCGCGGTCCATGAGTTCGAGCCCCGCGTCGGGCTCTGTGCTGACGGCTCAGAGCCTGGAGCCTGTTTCCGATTCTGTGTCTCCCTCTCTCTCTGCCCCCCCCGCCCCGTTCATGCTCTGTCTCTCTCTGTCTCAAAAATAAATAAACGTTAAAAAATAAAATAAAATAAAATTTGGGATGAAAATTTTTTTTTAATTTCATTAAAAAACGCTGTATTGGCGGGGCCAATGGCTGGATGGCTCAGTCGGTTGAGTGTCCGACTCTTGATCCCCAGGGTCGTGGGATCGAGCCCCGCGTCAGGGTCTGCACTGAGGCTGGAGCCTGCTTGAGATTCTCTTTCTCTTTCCCTCTGCCCCTTCCCCAACTCGTGCTCTCCCTCTCTTGCTTTCTCTAAAATAAAATAAAATTTTAAAAAACCCCACTATATTGGCAAAGGTGAGGGAATGCTGACAATATTTCAATTTCCTTGAACCCTGCTGATAATATATTAGGTTCAGAAAGTGCCTATAACATCCATCACCACCTAGAGTCACAGTATCTTGGGGAGTGGGGACATTAAGCTCTCTGTGGTGATTATTTCATGGTACATACATACATCAGATCATTATGTCGTATGCCTATAAATAACAGCATGTTCCCCGTCAACCGTATCTCCATAAAATAAGAAAAAGAAAACGGTCAGCTTTGCTACTCTCCAGCCCAGATCAACATGTTACTAAAATCAGCAGCTGGGAAGTCTAACTTGAGACTACAGAAAGATAGAACAAGGAAAAAAAAGAGTATGATGTCAAACTGGTCTTTTTTTTTTTACTTTTTACACTTTTATCTAGAAACAATGCATATCATTTCAATAATTACATCATACCTAAACGTATGGGGCGCCTGGGTGGCTCAGTCGGTTGAGTGACCGACTTCGGCTCAGGTCATCATCTCATGGTTTGTGGGTTCGAGCCCCGCGTCGGGCTCTGTGCTGACAGTTCGGAGCCTGGAGCCTGCTTCGGATTCTGTGTTTCCCTCTCTCTCTCTGCCCCTCCCCCACTCATGCTCTGTCTCTCTCTGTCTCAGAAATAAATAAACATAAAGGAAAATTTTTTAATTCTTCACATATATTATTTGATGCCTACACCTGTTTCTATCACATTTGTTCCTTCAGGAAGGAAGTCTTCAAACGGTATTTAAAAAAATGCCTACAAGGAATGAGTATAATTATTATTTGATAAGTCTGCTTAAGGTTTTTCTTATACCTCCCAGAAGTCAATAACTCCAGGGTGATTGAGTAACAAGTCCTTTACCAGTCAAATGGCCTCCAAATCTTGTCTGTTGACAAATTTGAAAAGAACTTAATCAGGTAGAGATAAAACACCATTCGAGGGGCTCCTGGGTGGCTCAGTCAGTGAAGTGTCCAACTTTGGCTCAGGTCATGATCTCACGGTTCGTGGGTTTGAGCCCCATGTCAGCTCTGTGCTGACAGCTCAGAGCCTGGAGCGTGCTTCAGATTCTGTGCCTCCCTCTCTTTCTGCCCCTCCCCTGCTCGCGCTCTGTCTCTTTCTCAAAAATAAACAAACATTAAAAAATTAAGAAAAAAAAAGTCCATTCAAAACCGTTTTCACAATAGATCACTCTGTGAATAACCTGCAGGAACTGCAGACAGCTGAACTTTTCCTTCTTTGTAGACTTATTTATGTAAAATGTTTTTCAAGGCTTAATATAAAAGAGTCCCAAAATTAATGTGGAAGCTTATCTAGATTGATCCATAAATTATGTTCATTAATGGATATATTAAATAAATGGAAAAAAATACTTTGTGTCTTATTAAAAGGTGACATCTTTTCAAAAAAATTAACTTCTCAGGGTCACCTGGGTGGCTCAGTTGGTTGAGCGTCTGACTCTTCATTTAGCTCCGATTGTGATCTCACAGTCTGTGGGATCGAGTCCTGTGTCCGGCTCCGTGCTGAGCCAGTATGGAGCCTGTTTGGGACTCCTCTCTCTCTCTCTGTCTGCCCTTCTCCCCCACTCAAAATAAAAAAAAAACTTCTAAAAAAGTGAATTTTCATGCTCAACAATTATATATCAAAAGTCATAACATATTTATACTGTTTTTATTTATCTGCAGCTGTAATGTGAACTTAATCTGTAAGAATGTTTTTCTACTTAAAGCTTTATGATCACGTGAAATTTAAAAGAATCCAATTTCGATAGACGTTTTTATCTTACATTTCATTTAAGCCTTTATGAAACACCTTTAAGCATAAAATATATATTGACTAGAACAGAATATTACATGGGGACCGGCAGAACGGAAAAGGAAAATAATGCAAAATTTCTTATCGCTGTAGAAGGGTTTGCCCATATAATGTTTAAAATGTGATGGTAAAGCATATCTTTATTAGATATACTTTAAATGTCAGCATTTGTAACATACTATGAATTCTTTTCCTTCAAGTATTTAAAATCGTGAAAAAAAGGTTTGGGGCACCTGGGTAGCTCAGTTAGTTAAGCTTCTGACTTGGGCTCCGGTCATGATCTCGTCATCTGTGGGTTTGAGCCCCACGTCAAGCTCTATGCTGACAGCTCGGAGCCTGGAGCCCACTTCAGATCCTGTGTCTCCTCCTCTCTGTACCTCCCTGCTCGCACTCTGTCTCTCTGTCTCTTTCTCTCTCTCAAAAATAAGTAAACGTGAAAAAATTTTTTTTAATTATGAAGAAAAGTTTTACATGCCAACTTTGAAACATGAGGGCACAGGTAGTTTTAACAAATCCTTTCGGGGCGCCTGGGTGGGTCAGTGAGTTAAGCGCCGGACTCTTGATCTCAGCTCAGGTCATGATCTCATGGTTCGTGAGTTCGAGCCCCACATTGGGCTCCGTGCGAATAGTGGGGATCCCGCCTGGGATTCTCTCTCTCTCCCCCTCTCTCTCCCCTGTTTCTCTTTCTCAAAATAAAACTAAAAAAATAAATACATAAAACTTGAATAAATTTCCCTTCAAAGCGTAGTTGAGGAGTTTGGGAACTGGTGGATTCAGGGTGGGAAAGAGGGCCAGGTGGCCCCCAAACCATCAGCTCCTCCTGAGCGTACAGGAGTGAGTCCGGAGAGCATAAGTTCAGTCCTTCTAAGCGAGGATCCTCCTGACCGTGCGGACTGGTACCTGCTCCAGGCGTAGCACGGGCAGGTAATCGAGTAGCCCATGTGCAGCTTTGTGCATTTATCCAGACTGAAAGCACAAAAACCTAACAACCAAACGAATCTAGGATTCCATTTTTAGAAGGTTCCTTGAAGCAGCGAGAAGCACGCCCGGTTAGCAAGAAGTCCCTGCGGGGTTAGTACTCACATTCGAGCCCCTTCCCAAAGCCGACCGTGACGGGTCCCCATCGCCGTCCAGCCCGCACCGCCCGATCTGCTCCGCCTGGAACACAGACACGCGTCAGGTCATCTCCAGGTCAAAGGTCAAGCAAGCCCAGGTCGAAAGTCATCCTCAGCGATTACTGCAGCCAAAGATACCAGCGTGGTCCTCAAGGCAGCAGACTCTAGATGGGAATCCTGGGCCTCATCCCTCCGCTCAGGAACCCAGAAGCCCCTAACCAAAGTGATCACTGATCTGAAAACTGGTTGTGAAATCCATGACTCACGGGGAGGCATTTTCTTTTTGCATTTTCCCAAAAGCATATCGTCCACTTGGAAAACGCACAAGAAAACAGTAGTTAGTGCGTCTGGGCCGAATGAGTGGGCTCCGAAACCAATTAAGTAACAAGTGTTGGTTGGGGCTTTCTTAATCTGCTCAGTGAGTGCAGCAGAAATAATTCACCGAACATCTCACTCTCTGTCCACAAAAGATAAACAATCATGGTATCTCGCTCCATCGTGAAGAACGATGTTTCGCATTGATGGTTCACTGGCCACCGGCTACAGAATCACAGGGTGCAGCAGGAGATACAGCTTTTGATACCCCCCCCCCCCCATGAAAATCTCTGGGGAGAAGACCCAAGAATCCAATTGTTAGGCGAGGTCTTAGGGTGATTCTTAGGTACTTTTTCAGAACTGCTGAGTTACAAGAATAAATAATGTCCAGATAGTAGAAAATTACCATGTTTTAAAATGAAACTCCCAAGTTTAAAATACCAAAAATGAAAATACCAAAGTTTTATTTTTATTTTTTGAGAGGAGCATGAGTGGGGGAGCAGGGAGAGAGGGGACCAGAGGATCCCAGGCGGGCTCTGGGCTGACAGCATTTAAGCCCAACATGGGGCTCAAACTCATGAACCGTGAGATCCTGACCCGAGCTGAAGTCAGACGTTCAACCGACTGAGCCACCCAGGTGCCCCTAAGATACCAAAGCTTTATAATAAGGAGAGATATGCACCCTCAGCTACTTCAGCCAAAATGCTATCCCTTAAGTATATCCTTGTTGAGACTACATGCGCGCGCGCGCACACACACACACACACACACACACGTATATATTTTTTTGCTTTTAAGGAGATACTGCAAAGACCTATGTTAGCTTCAAATTGCCTTGGCATTTCTCCATTCTCAGTGTTCTGTTCTCTTGAGATGTGTGTAGACTATCTGGCATCATAACATTTTAGGAATCACTTAATGATTTTGCCCGGGGCGCCTGGATGGCTCAGTCGGTTAAGCGTCCGACTTTGGCTCAGGTCCTGATCTCATAGTTTGTGAGTTCGAGCCCCGCATCGGGCTCTGTGCTGACAGCTTGGAGCCTGGACCCTGCTTCGGATTCTGCGTCTCCCTCTCTCTCTGCCCCTTCTTCCGCTCATGCTCTATCTCTCTCTCTCAAAAATAAATAGAATATTAAAAAAACTTTAAAAAAGTAATGATTTCACCCAACCCTCCTAGGATTCATGAAGAAAAGTGTGAACCAAGTACAGTGGGAGTAAGGGAGGAAGAGCCAGGGCACTGGAAGGACAGGCCGGTGCGGACTTGGACCGTGGTCAGCTCAGGGGCCTGCAGCTTGTGCTTCCTCGACTGTGCAATGGGCTGGATACTACCCCTCGGCAGGCTTCCAGAAGACGAAACTAAGCTGCATTTAGCACAGCCTCTCAATCCAGGAAATGAAGAGGAACAAGGCCTGGAGAGGCTGGGGCCACAAACCACAGATACTCCGGTAAGAGAAGTCGAGGGCAAAATAAAACAAAGTAAGGGAGAGAGGAGGTGCAGAAGAAGGGACACTAAGCGCAGCCTGACGGGGACAGCGCCAAGACGCCAGGACAGAAAGAGTCCCGCAGCCTTGGCATTTTCCCAGGGTCCCCGGCGGTGGCGTAAGCCAGGCAGCCTCCCACCCCCACGCCACAGGTGACCTTATTTTGCTAAAAACAAAAGCGTTTCTTGGTTTTTTTTTACTGGCTTTGCTGGCCGTTCCTTCCCTCCAAAGGAGTAAGACTCCAGAGGACTCTTGAGATCCCCGTGTGAGGAAATGGTAGGTTTTACCATGACTTGGTTCCATCAGGATCAAGGAGGACAGCGAGGAACGCAGTCTTGGAAAATGTGATCTCCCAAATTTCAGGAACCCAGAAGCCCCACATTTATAGAGTGAAGGTAAATTCAAATGCAAAAGTCGGAATCTGTAATTTCAAGTAATCCTGACCTGACCAGAAAAAAAAAAAAAAAAGGAGAAGAGAGGAGGGGAGGGAAGAGAAAGGGGGGAGGTGATGGGAGAGGAAGGAAGAGGGGGTGAGGAGGGGGGAGAGGAGAGAAAGGAGAAGGGGGAAGGGGGAGGAGGGGCTGGGAGGGAATATGGGATAGAGAGAAGGAAAGCACCAAGGATCTTGAGAGAAGTACGACGAACACTGATTTTCAAAGGACACCTGGCAACATCAGGGAAAGGGCATGTAACCAGTAACAAAAAAGAGACTCACAAAACCAAAATCAAAGCATCAGGACACACGAGGAGGAAAATGAGCCGGTGCGTGTGGGTCACTGCCAAAGGCAACAGACACCTGCGGGAGGCCAAGCTCCTGAGCCACACTTGACCTTGGCTTTCACCCTGGAGCTCGCTGCCCCTCCCTCCTCTGAACCAGAAACCACCGCGGGCCGGGGGTGCTGCGGGCTGTGCAGCCCGGATCGAAGCCCAGACCCCGAGCACCGTTATTTCCTGCTTCCCATCCTCATCAGCAAAGCGGTCTGAACCGTCCCCTCCCTCGGCCTCCTGAACCGGGGAAATGAGATGCACAGGTCCGGGCAGTGGGCACAGGGGTTTCTCACCAGCAAAAGGCTGCCCTCCCACTCTGCCTGGAACCGGGTGCAAATATGGAATCAGAGCCCGCCAGTGGCCGGACCGCTTTTGTCTTTTTAGTCTCACTTACTAGGAAGGAGCAAATACTAGGGATTAGCAAAATATACCTTTTCGACACCAGGTGCCGTGCACGAGCCTGCAGAGCAGGGCTCGTGGCTTTGGGTCCCACTGGCGAACACAACATTATCACCCTGCTTTAGGAATCAAGTCTGGATGTATGTCAGTCACTTTCCTGCATATGAATAAGTTCCCTTTCACCTGAAGAAATTAATATTCCTACAAATATTTAGAAAAATTCCAAGATAGGGTGAGTACAAACATCCCACGCAACTATTTTTACGTAATGCAGAATCATACGTGTATTCAGCCCATTACCTTACTACTGCTTCTTTTATTAACTTTGAAAAATCCCAGAAATTTTTTCTTCTCTTTATCTGTCTCATCGTTGCCAAGCGATGATTTTCTAAAGGTTTCTGCGGAGAAAAGAAAAGTATCGTTATTATCAGTCTATGGAATGAGATTAAACACCACACTTTGAACATCTCGATAAATGAGTCCTCCACCCTTAAACTTTATTTTGGTTTTTATAGGACAAACCAGCAGCTATTTCTTTCAAAGCATTTTGAGGGGTGTCTCGGTGGCTCAGTCAGTTAATTGTCTGACTTCGGCTCAGGTCATGATCTCACGGTTCATGGGTTCGAGCCCCGCGTTGGGCTCTGTGCTGACAGCTCAGAGCCTGCAGCCTGCTTCGGATTCTGTGTCTCCCTCTCTCTCTCCGCCCCTCCCCTGCTTGTGCTCAGTCTCACAAAAATAAATAAATGGAAACAAATTTTTAATAAAAAAAAAGCATTTCAAGCCACCTCAAAGCCTCCAAGTCCCATTTATGAAATCACTAAAGGTTCTCACAATTTTCAGTGAGTTGGGTGGCATTTTCCTCTGGGTGGGATTGAACCCTGTGCATGAATGATAAAAACAAATCAATCAAGCAGTTCTAGGGTGGAACCATCCACTAGAAAAATGAAGTAAATCACACACGCTGTTTTACATTCTCTAGAGGCTGCGTCAAAAACAACCAGGTGTGATGTTAATAATGTATTTGTGTAATCTAATATTTCTAAAATATTATCATGCCATTAGATAATTGAGAGAGAAATTATTAATGAACTTGTTTTTTGAGAGAAAGAGAGGGCAGGGTAGGGGCAGAGAGAGAGGGGGCCACAGGATCTGAAGAGGGCTCTGAGCTGACAGCCCAATGTGGGGCTCGAGCTTAGGAACCGTGAGATCATGACCTGAGCCAAAGTCAGACTGTTAGCCCACTGAGACACCCAGGGTCCCCATTAATGAGAAGTTTTAAATTCATTTTGGTGGTGGGGCATGTGGGTGACTAAGTTGGTTAAGTGCCCAACTTTGGCTCAGATCATGATCTCACGGTTTGTGGGTTCAAGCCCCACGTTGGGCTCTGTGCTGACAGCTCAGAGCCTGGAGCCTGCCTCAGATTCTGTCTCTCTCTCTCTCTCTCTCTCTCTCTCTCTCTCCCCTCTCCTGCTCACACTCTGTCTCTTGCTCAAGAATAAACATACATAAACAAATTTTTTTTAATTCAGTTTGGTGCTGAGTGTGCGGGTCACAGCACACATCTCAGCTCAGACTGGCCACACTCCACGTGCCTAAGGGCCACACGTGACTGGTGACTAGGATGGGGCCATCTGTGTCAAACATCCTCTTTTGGAATTATGAGTGAGGTACAAACACTCACTAAATAAAATAAATCAATAGCTTTCTGGCTTAAAAAAGGCCACTAGTTTCCAGAACATGGACTGGCTGCGATGGTTTACCCAGGTGGTAGCTGACATAACCCTATGTGACCTGCCAGGATTCATGTTTCCAGATCTGCTTTCTACGACCTCAACCCGAAGGTCTTCCTTCCCGATGACATTCTCCAGGAGCCCCCAGACGGGGACGTCGAAGCCCAGACTTGTCGGGCAGCTGACGGCATCATGGCGTCACTGAGGACTTGGGCCAGTTCCAGACCCCTGCCTCTGGGGTGGGGCCCAGCGCCCCGCATTCACTCCCCGCTAACCCCCGGTGCTTCTGCTGCCGGGCTGTGGTTGAGAACCAGCAGAACGGGGGTCAGGAGCGCCGAGGGCACACCGCTTTGCCACCCTCTGTCATGAACTCATCCGGTTCTTCTCTTCCAAGGCACCCAGAGATGCCAAGAGAGGGGGACATTGGGGTGTTCCTGAGGGACAGAAACATGAACTTCCTGGCCCACTGCCAGCTGCTAGACAGCCTGACCGCCAATCCACGGGTAGGAAAATCTGGACTGGGATCACACAGTCTGCTCTCAGAACATCAACCCAAACAAGGTAAACAGCAGGGAGCTTCTTTATCTGCTGGCCTAAAATTTCATCCTCCGATGAGAGCACACACACGAGAGCCGGTACGTTAGTAGCAAACGCATGAACGCTAATGCTGCCTCCCCAGCAAAGTAAAACCCAAGCACCCTCATTCCTTAAATTCTTCTGGGAGCGGCAAAGGCCCAGGGTTTAGTGCCGAGGCCCAGGCCCTCGGTTACGTGCAGGCGACTCCAGCCAAGCCACAGGTGCCCTCCGATCCAGATCAGTGAGCGAGCGACTCCCATCGCGAGGCATGCATCCACACACACACACACGCGCGTGTGCACAGATCTCACGGCTGATCGCACTGAAACCCGCCGCACCAGGCACCGAGCTACAAAGGTTGAGCTGTGGTAAAACTACACCCAGGTGAACAACAGTAGGCGTCGACAGGTGTATTTATAATCGATCGTGTGTCTAGCATTGAGGGCCACATGAGGCCGAGGTAGTAAATGTGTGGTATCATAGAACTCGGCAGGAGAACGAGGGAATGTGTCACTGGCACACCGGGTATTACACCAACCACGGAAATGACAGACTGATCAGGAAACTGTAGCGCAATCAAGCCTCTTTTTTCTTTCCCTGAATAGCAGTAGAGGTTGGTCACCAAGTCCGCAAGACTGGATGGCCGAGGGGCGGCCCAGCCGCCAGAGCTGCCCGCGGTGATCTGAGAGGCACTCTCTTGTGTGGCCGCAGGCGGTGGCTGTCTGGAGGCAGCAGGGCCCCCAGGCGGATGGCCTTAGGTGCGGGGGCGAGGGATTGGCGACTCTGTACTGAGAGGCGCCTTCTGTGAGGCCTCTGGGCCCCGGCAGACAATGCAGGAGGGAGCCAGAGCACTGGGTGTCCCTCCGTGTTCCCGTCAGCCCAAGTGTCAGCAGGTGGCCGCCACATGTCACAGCCAGCACCTGGCCACGGACACACAGCCCGGCTGGGAGAACACATACACTCTCTGGTTCCAAACACACAATTTGAGCCCGGAACCTGTTTTCGTCCGGTTTACGCTGATTTACTAGAAGTTAAACACGAATCAAAGTTTCGAGGAGGACGTGCTCAATCTGTAAGCGTGCACACAACTGCGCCGAAACATTAACGGGATTCAGAGAACAACAAAGATGAACGGAGCGGCACGGGGGGATGGAATGGGGCTGCAGGGGCCCTGAAATAACCAGCTCATCCAAACCACTCACTCTTCCGGACGAGGAAAATGGAAGGTCAGGGCCGTTCAGTGGCCAGGGCACAGGCGCGAGCGAGCGAGCAAGCACGAGAGGAGACGTAGGCCTGCATCCTGCAGATGCGCAGCCCGTCATGAGCCTGTGTGCACAGCGCCGATCGGAGCCCTGCTGACCTCCATCTGCCTATTGCCCCAGATCAGACCCGGGTGAACTGAGGAAGCCTTCACAGACAGGAGGTTCCTGCCCCAAACAACGGCCATTCACCGTGCTTCTCGGGGGCGGATCCTTCTGTCGGCCGGACTTGTCTGCACGGTAGGACGGAGTAAACCTCAGCAGACAAGGAGTGTGCAGGGTGGCCTGGGCCACCGCAGTGTCAGAGCCCACACCCACGGGCTGTGTTTCCAGACCAACACCAAGATCTGTTTCATTAAACTTTTGTACATAAAAGACAAACACTCACCGGGACTTGAATGAACTTGGGTGTGTGTGTGTGTATGTGTGTGTGTGTGGAGAGTTCAAAGAGGTCACATAAATTCCAACATACAGGGGTGCCTGGGTGGCCCAGTCGGTTAAGCATCCGACTTCGGCTCAGGTCATGATCTCGTGGTTTATGGGTTCCAGCCCCCGCGTTGGACTCTGTGCTGGCAGCTCAGGGCCTGGAGCCTGCTTCCGATTCTGTGTCTCGCCCTCTCTCTGCCCCTGCTCTGCTTGTGTTCTCTCTCTCAAAAATAGGTAAATAAAAACATTTAAATAAAATTCCAATGTGACTATATGTATCCATGTATACGCGTGCATGTACGTGTAAATATAGGTGTATGTGAGCATACGTAAGGTTTACGATAAATGTCAGAAGAAATCCAAAAGCCAGAATGATCGTGTATATACGCTTCTACGACAGAAAAGATTAGACTTCACGATCTACACTGCCCCAAATTCTGCAGCAGACAGGATGGACCTCGTGGGCACCGGTGGGCACGGGTGAAAAGGAAAATGGGGCATCTTCTGCAAGTGCTACTTCTGCTCTGCCCTGAAACTGTGTATTCCAGAAGGACCCATCTTCTGGAACGGCCTCCTTCACTGCGTAGCGGGTGGACCCACAGAGCGAACCCCCACACAAGGGACATTCTTCTCTTAGGCAACCAGGGTGTCAAGACGCCAAACCGAAGCCGCGTAGCAGCTGACAGACGTGCCCCCGGAGGCCCGGCGCGGCAAGCCTGCGTTCCCTCAGCTCCTCTACGCCAGTGCACTTGCATGCATCGTCCTAGCCCAGAGCCATGCAAAGTCCAGCTGGGGTGGGAGCAGGCCTGCAGGTTCACTGTACCTTGACAGCTCAGGGAAGGCTCCGACTGAGTTTTGGTCAGAAGAACTGGAAAAAGCAGGCAAGGAGAAAGTGAGGGCAAGCCTCGCTAGTCTGCACCAGCCCCTGAGTACAGCCTCGGCCCCCGCCCCCTGCAGGCCCCGGGCGGGGGAGGGAAGGGGGGTGCTGTTTGCGCCCCTGCAGGAGAGGGGCCAAGTCCCCAGCCCCTGATCTCCTCCAGCCCGCAGCTGCCGGGCTGCTAAGAGCTCCCATGGAAGCAGGTGGCAGCAAAGCCTTCTGCTTCTCCAGGCTGCCAAACCCGGGAATTCCAGAAGAGTTGGGCCTCTGCCTAGCAAGGCCCCGCCTCCGGCCTTGGCCCCGCCTCCGGCCTTGGCCCCGCCTCCGGCCTTGGCCCTGCCCGCTCTGGAGCAGCTGCTGGCTGGGGAGGGGATGTAATGCAAGAGGGGCCTAGAGAGAGGGCTCCCCGCAGACATCTTCCGGAATGTTCTCCCTTCTTCCCAAATACTTGACTGCCAGTAGGGATAAAGGCGTTTGGCGGGATGATAATCAAATACTGCACAGCCGGCATAGCACATGGCACCGTACGGTCCAGATGAAAGAGACACCGTGTCCCGGGCAGGGGCCGGTCACCCACCATGCCCGTGCCGGCTGTTACTCCTTTATTTTCTGGGGACGCTGCTGGGGTCCCATCAGATAGAGCTGATGACTGACCTAGAAGAGAAACGCGTGTTTGTGCAAGCTTTTTGCTTTCACCTATTTGTGGGGACAGTTTTTCTTTCTTTTCTTTCCTTTTCTCCTTTTTTTTTTTCTTGTCTTACCAAATGAAAGCTCTATTTCCAAAGAGGCACAGAAACCAAATTTAAACAGGGCTGATAAGAGCCTGACAGACACGCCCACTATATCCAACCCTCGGAGCAGATGCTGGGAATAATCTTGTCTGAGTTTTTGAGAGATGCGGCATAAAACACAAGATGCATTGCTCTCAAATGTCAGAGCACTCTCTCTCTCTCTCTTTTTTTTTTTTTTTTTTTTTTGCAGGAATAAATAGTCTATGCATTTTATATGTGACTGAGCTAAAACCCTTCCTCGAATGGCAAATGAGACCTGGAGTCCAGAACCTGTGGGAGATTTGGCAGAGGAGAGAGATTCCATGATGATCACTGATTTTGCAATGACGTCAGTAATAAGAGAAACAGATTTTCCCGGAAGAATCTGAAGGACGCTAGAAACACACGAAAAAACAGGATAGGTTTATACTTTAAAAACCCTACCCACTCGGTATCTGTGGAATAAATACAAGGCAACAGATCAAATGAGCCTCATTAAAAGGCACTTATATGAAGTTCGTTTTAGTAAGTTCTAAAGTCAAGGGCTATGTATTTTTTTTTTTCACTTGCTCATTCATTGATTTATTTTGGTCTGACAGCTGTTTCAATATGGTCAGCCCTTTGTGTCAATCAGGGAAATCTGCTTATACACCTATCAGCCTCTGTGCCAACAGCGAGTGGTCTCGAGAGTGGCCACTCCCCCAGAGGCTCTGGGCCGTCAGGTCAAGTACCAAATTCACACGAGCAGTAGGTGTCTCTGGCATCAATGCTGAGGAAGCCCCACGTGGCTCTGTGGGTGGTTCTCGAGGACTGATCTCCTGAACTATAATTCATTCGGGCAGTTTCAGAAAAAGCTGAATTGTCAGCTGGTTCTGACAATGAGCAATGTTTGAGACTTGGGGCAGGTACTGAAAAAGAAATCCGAGACACTGGTTCATGCAGGCTTTGTGAGTAGTTCCGGTCCAGGGCCTGTTTTTATTCACGTCAAGGAAGCTCGAGGGAGACAGGGAATGAGCAGGACAGGCTCAGGATGGGGGGGGGATGCATCATTACAATCGAGGGGAACAGGAACAGACCAAATTTACTTTCTGCCCACTTCAACTCTGGACGAAGCTTGAGTGGCCTGAAAATCCAGGCACGGTGATTCCCGCCCGGGCTTTCCCCCAGCGGGCATCAAAGACGCAGGGCGGCCTCACCTCGTTTATTGTCCCACGCGTAGAGTTCCTTGATCCCCAGCTCGTTGAGGGACTTGGACAGCTCCAGCTCCTCCCCGGCGATGTTGTCCCTGAGGAGGACCACGTGCTCTGGGCTGACCTCACACTTTGCACAGATGACCGGGAGAATGTTCTGGAGCGGCACCTCGGGGCTCACACGCACCACGGCCTTTTGCGTTCGCAGGTAATTCACTACCAAGCGCACGGATTTCTGGAAGAACATACCGGACGAAAGTATTCTATAAGGGCGTGTTTGCACAAGGCTCCAACCCCTATTGGTGTTCTAGAATGAGTACGGCAAGATCTGGGGCAGCCCGAGCCCTTCTCCCGAAACTGAGTGGGTCATGGGCGGAAATGGCAGACTCAGTAGTGAACAATATGCACCTGGAATAAACCACTGACCATAGACTCGCTCACTAAGGAACAAACTGCTAACAACACAAGGGAATGGACATTGGGAGGGATCCTGATTTATAATTTAACACCTACGCCTAACTACCATCTTTCAAGGATCCCAACAGACCTGAACACAAGGCACCTGCACATATTGTCTACATGAAAATTGTTTGAAAGTATCACGAATAATTCAATTTCAAGAAAAATCCTAAAAAAAACCCCAAGATATCAAATTTTTGTTCAAATAGCCAAAGACCCACATAAATATATTAATATCTCTATAACTATATACGGTATGTATACATGTCTGTGTATATACATATTTTTGTGTACATATACTACATACACATATTTAAGCTGAAAATATATGAGGCATACAACAGACATATACATGTAATAAACATATAATGAGAGCCATTATAATCAGGGAAAAAACCAATCGGTTTGACTACACCTGATTCTAAATGTCTACTGATAAACGGACCGGTCAAAAAAATTTTAATATGCCAAAGGTTCATAAAGGCAACTTTTTCTTGGCCTTTACTGACTCGACATTGTCCGAACTCCCTGAAGAGAAGACCCACTAAGTGTGTGCTGAATAGTTAGTTGGATCCCATGCCCCTTTCCAGAGTGTCGATGGCACCAATTATAATTTATTAATCACCCAAACCTAAAAACGTACAGAAGATGAACTGCTGGCCAAACTGCCATGTTTAAAAGCAGAAACATTTAGTAGATATTCCAAGCACCTAAAAGCTTTCCAATGGCGTTAAAAGATTCACAGCAAAGCTTTATTAAGAAGTACCATAAGCAGCTGGAGTTCATTTTAACCAATAACCAAAAGCCTGAAATAAATCTGTGTATGAGATATTCCCCAAGTGCATTGAGTACAAATTTCGGATGTCAGTTTCTCAAAAGGGAAAACTCCTGTTTTTCCTCTGTCTAGGAGAAGTTCAAATCTTCCCTGTATTGCCATAGCTTCCTTGGACTGAAAGACCTAGGATTTTCTAGAGCGGTTCTATCTAATTCAACATGGTAGCCACTGGATCCTTGTGGTTATTCCAATGTAAAAGAATTATAACTAAATACAATTAAGAGCTCAGTTTCTCAATCACACAAGTTGCATCGCACCTGCTTAATAACTAGCTACACGCGCCAGGGGCGGCCTCCTTGGAACATGCAGGATTACAGACCATTCCCATCTGTGCAGAAAGTTCCAGTGGATGGCTCTGGTCTAGACTGATTCCTCTTCTATAACATCCGAAGGAGCAAAGTTACAACCGTGAATGTTATTAAGCTCAGTTTACTTCCATCTTTGAAAAGAAGCCCAGTTAGGGCCTCACTTTGCCCAGCGTTGTTAGTAGGCGTTCCAACAACAGCTGTCTGCAGGTGTTACTTAGATAAGAGGGGCCCCACCAGCCCCCTCCTCAACCCCTGGGCCACAGGTGTCTGCATATGTCCTCAGGTGACAAAGGGTCCGCTTGTCCTACTGACCTCAGGTGCTTTAGGTGGGCCAGGCTTAACCTTCTCTTCGGGAACTTTCTCTTTGAGAAACACAGTGTGCACATTCAGGGTCCCAACTAAAGTGTTTGGCTTAAAACTCAAAGGCTGTTGGGTTTCCGAAGACCGGATCTCCAGGGCATGGTGGGATGGATTCAGGTGGTTCTGAAGGCAAAGTTCAACCAGCAGGTCCATCATTGCATGGCTGCAAAAATGGAAACAAATCACATTAATTAGGGACGTTTGCACTCTCCCTTCGGTCAAGCTTGGGAAGGGCCAAACACACGAACCAGCAGGTGAATGTGCAGTCCTCTGTCTGGTCATGCTTATCAAGGGCAACGGCAGCTCGTGAATTCCTGACGCATGACTGTACTGGACGACACAGTCGTAACATCTGCAACACTAGTAAACAACAGAGCTGAAAGAGCGTCCAGTAGATCAAACCCGTAAGAGCGGGGGAAAGAGCTACACTTGTAGTTAATCCATGGATATGCTGAGTTGAATCCTAGGAGGTCAGTTAGCACAAGTGAGATCACTAAAAACTAGACTTTCAGTTATTCAAAATTATAATGTATCTTAAAAACTGAAGATTTTAAGTTGAAGATGATAGCTAAAAAAAAAAAAAAAAAGCATGGCTTAAAAAAAAAAAAAAAAAACAACTAAGAAAATGCCCTAGTTTGAATGTCCAAGATTTTCATAATGTCCCCCACCACAGGGGATTATTTACCATGGGAAAAGAATAACAGTGTGGATTCCTCCAAAGAATTTCATTTGCCTCTTTTATATCTGCTGGGCAGAATGCTTTTATATTTAAAGCCGACCTCTCTTTCCTAAAATTTCCCAAGCAATGGAGCATATACACCTTTCAAAAAGCATACGTCTTTCCTCTGATTTCTTTTTTAGTTTTCTAAGTGTTGATTTACTTTTGAGAGAAACAGAGGGAGACAGAGCGTGAGCGGGGGAGGGGGAGAGAGAGAGGGAGACACAGAATCCAAAGCAGACTTCAGGTTCTGACTGTCAGTGCGGAGCCCTACGCGGGGCTCAAACTCACAAACCATGAGATCGTGACCTGAGCTGAAGTGGATGCTTAACCGACTGAGCCACCCAGCTGTCTCCAAAACAACTTTTTAGAGCCATCTCCTCTATGACAGTATTTGCTCCCACCTACTATCTGGGAAGGAATTAACAGCATGTGTGTGAATTGGGGGATACTCGGGGACACTGGCGTCACCCGAGTTCAGGAGACTCCGGGCCCCCTGGACTATGATGGGGCATCTGTAGGGCTGATGAAGTGCCCACCCTCACAAGTGCCCCAGCACACACAGCCACACCAGCTAATAACACTGTAAGCTTGGATTCCTTCAGCTCCGGGGCAAAAATCATCTTTGTTCTGACAGCGAGATTAATGCAATACAACAAAAAGGCTGCAAGATGTGAGGACATTCCACTGAAAACTTCCATACCCAGGGGCGCCTGGGGGGCTCAAGTCAGTAGAGCGTCCCACTTCGGCTCAGGTCATGATCTCACGGCTGCTGGGTTCGAGTCCTGCGTCGGGCTCTGTGCTGACAGCTCAGAGCCTGGACCCTGCTTCGGATTCTGTGTCTCCCTCTCTCTCTCTGCCCCTCCCCACTTGTGGTCTGTCTCTCTCTCTCTCAAAAATCAATAAAACATTTTTAAAAAAAGCCTCAGTACAGAAAGCCGACTTCTAACAATACTAAAGTGACCTCATGTTATTTGTTCCCATGCCCTGTGTATCCTTGATGACACTTACACACTCCCCTTCCCAGTCACCCAGGCTGAGGGGTGGGGTCTCCAGGAGAAGGCAGATGGGCCCGGGACCCCGGTCCATCTGACGCTCGCTCCTTTCCGGTCTCTGTCTCCACCCACACTCTACCGGCACCAGGGTAAGCACACACAAATAAACCGCCAGACAAGTATTTGAATTACTCTTACAATATAAACCAGAAAGAACACAAAAGCTAGTAATGTCACTTTTCTGTTCTTTTAATGCAATACTTGGTGACATATTTGAAACACTGAATTAGATGCTGTAAAAGGGAGCAGCCGGCTCTGGGACAGGGTGGCATTTTCCCCCATTACTGGGAGTAAGTAAGCACCCTGCCCTCATGCAAGCCGGTACTTAACCGGACGTGCTAGTATAGTCACTACCCATTTTCCGCCCGAATAAAGAAGGGGGTGCCCAAGTCTCTGCCTTGCGTGTCCAGTGGCTTTCCCCCCAGAACTGACTGATCCATGCTGGCCTTCGCTATCTCACTTAATGCAGGATGGGTTCCTTCCCACAGAGAGCTCCTCATGTTCAAGTTACAGCGATATTGTCAAGAACTGAGGGTGGAAGGCAGTTTCTCAACAAAATGTTGGGGGCGGGTGGGGGAGGAAGAAGTTCCAAAGCAGAAAATTCTATGTGCTGGAGGCCTGTCTCCTCAAATTTACTATTAAATTGGGGGGAGGTGGGGCGCCCGGGTGGCTCAGTCGGTGGAGTGTCTGACTTGGGTTCGTTGAGTTCGAGCCCTGCGTCGGGCTCGTTGCTGTCCGCGCGGAGCTCGCTTCAGATCCTGTCTCCCTCTCTCTCTGCCTCTCTCTCTCTCTAAAAAAATTAAAAAAAAAAAGACAAAAAACTGGGGGGAGGAGAAGGCAGCAAAGCAAAGCAAAACAAAACACTGTTAAGAGTATGATCATAAAACTCAACAACCAGATGCCTGGCTGTCATATGTGCTTAAATTTTACGAAGAACACAGAGGCCAATTACAAAGTCAACCTGTTCCAGCACACTGGACGCTATCCTTTCCCAGTGGCAAGAGCCCAAGCCAAGACAGAGGGGCTCCCACAGGGATGTAAGGAGGTTTTGGGGTGACAGGAACTCAGGCTTTGATAGCTGTCTTGTTCTCCTTCGGGACATCTGTATCGGTGACCCCCAGAGGGACGCAGCTGACGAGGACTGAACCTGGGCTTCACTTAAGCAGCTGGACGTGCACCGGTACAAACACAAGGACTTGGGTTCGAAAGCATGACCTGATCTTACAACATCTCCTGCAGGGTCTGCCGCTCAGTGTGACCCTTCCCCAGGCTCATTTAAAACACGACCTGGGGGCACCTGGGTGGCTCAGTCGGTTAAACGTCCGACTTCAGCTCAGGTCATGATCTCGCGGTCCGTGAGTTCGAGCCCCGCGTCGGGCTCTGTGCTGACAGCTCAGAACCTGGAGCCTGTTTCAGATTCTGTGTCTCCCTCTCTCTCTGACCCTCCCCCATTCACGCTCTGTCTCTCTCTGTCTCAAAAATAAACGTTAAAAAAATAAAAAATAAATAAAAAATAAATAGAACACAACCTGATTTACTACTGCCCCGCTATACGCCTTTCAGCTTCGCGTTCCACGTAAAATGAGGCGCGTGGGGGTGGGTGGCCTTTCTGCCCCACCGGTTAATCTGCTATCAGCTGCCATTTAAAATGCCAAACTCCCAAGAGTAAGCCAGTTCTTCCAAGGCTCCTCTGATGCTCCTGGAAAAAGTCACCCAGAAAGAGAGGAAAGCCAAAGCACAATGGCAGTGCCCAGTGATGGGCAGAGGCACCTCCTGGTCCCCGTGGGCTTCTGTTACAGATTCACCTGCGGAGAGCTGACAGCTTCTCCAATGGGGTATCAGTGTGTGCCCTCCTGGGGTTGTAGCAAGTCCCTATGCCACTGGGCCACAGGAAGGAACCTTCCAGAGAATGGAGAAGGTTGCCTGCTTGGAACCTTCTGGAGACTGGAAAAGGTTGCCTGCTTAGAACCTTCTGGAGACTGGAAGAGGTTATCTGTTAAGAAACTTCTGGAGACAGGAAGAGGTTGCCTGCTCACTCGTACACATTCTCCTCATATCCTGAGCCTGACCCCTCCTTACCTCCCCCGCTCCCTGCCCTTGGATGCAGCAACACCTGACCCTGATGTGCAGCTTTGCACACACCAGCCGTGTGAAGTGTGGGCATCCTTCCCATGGGAGCAGAGCAGTTTAGTGAGGCACCTGAGGGGAGCTTCCCCGGGATGCTGTCCCAGCACCGCCACTCACCAGTTCTCAGACCCGCTCCCCGTGCCTCAGTTTCCTCACCAGTGAGGGCATTAATGACAGCGTCCACCTGTTAGAGACTTAAGTCAATGAACACTTGTAAGGCACTGAGCACAGTGTCGGGCATTTGTAAATGTGATGTGTTTGCAAAATACATGAGTTGACTCGTTCCTGTCTTTTCTGCTTTGGGATTCTGTGCAGTGAGATGCTGTACCCGGCTCAGAGCAGACATCCCATCTGTATGTGGCTGAGCTCCGTCCTGCTCTCAGCAAATGCCAAGCTTCCAAGTGGCATCCTTGAGACACTGCACCGTGAAGTTTCCCCAATCTTACAATGAAGCAAACTAAGGCAATCAGACAGGCTCACAATGTCAAACGAAGAGTCAGGTGTATTAAGAAAGCTGTCTAGACCATCAGTGCTAAGCACCCAAAGCACACCCTGCATTAACACTGCTGGGGACAACTGCGTCCTCCCCAAATTCACGTTGAATCGCTAACCCCCAACATATTTGGAGACGGGGCCTCTAAGGATGGGATTATGGTTACAGGAGGCCATAGGGTGGTACTAATCGGGTAGGATTAGTGTCCTTATAAGAAGGGGCACCAGAGAGCTTGCTCTGTGTACCCACAAAGAGGTGGTCATGAGCACAGAGCTATGGCAGCTGCCTATGACCCAGGATGATGCCTCGGAAGGAAATCTACCCGCCTGTACCGTGACCTTGACTTCCAGGTGCCAGAGCTCCGAGAAGCCATGTGTGTTGTTGAAGACCCCGGTGTCTAGTATTTTAAGGCAGTCTGAACTAAGACTAACACGAACACCCTTTGCAGGGTCTCTCTCTCTCTCTCTCTCTGATCCCAAGTACTAGAGGACTGATCACCCCAAACCACATTACTAGGGGTGCAGGGGTCACACGGTAGATGCTAGGGGTGCAGGGGTCACGTGGCAGATGCTAGGGGTGCAGGGGTCACGTGGCGGATGTTAGGGGTGCAGGGGTCACGCGGCGGATCTCCAGGGTTTCCTCTCTCGACTACTCCTCAATATTGTTTTTCCCTCTGACCTCTTTAATCTGTTCCCCAAATGCCTCTTAACTGCTCCTAACATAGGAATGATATTTACTTCCTGGTATTTGTGGTGATCTCTGTTTTTAAG